GCAAATTCAGGGGCTGGGTTTCTTATTCAATGTTTTCTTATTCAGTGCTGGCGCTGTACCCAAAATGGGCAAGGCTTCTGCTAACTGTTTGGGGATGCTCAGGATCGCTTTGGAATGATTTGAGCACAGACGCGCCAAGGACACCGCAGACGCGCCAAGGACACCGCAAACAAGCTCTTTGAATTCAACATGCAAAAACCAAAGAATGGAAGGAACCAATTCAGTCAATTCCACAAAACTCGGACCAGACCCCAGCAAGGACAACACAGAACATTACCGAGCCCGGCGAGATCAACGACAAAAGGAACGAAAAACATACAGGCGAAGACAGTAGGACAAGTAGAAAAAACGACAAGCACTCGAACAAAAGAAGAGGAGTTGCAAACAAGTAGGAGCTTGGGAACACCAGCAGAACTCAGGCAAACTTGCTAAACTTTCCCAACGAGAACACAAAACACTCAACCACATTCAACATCAGCAGGAGCACCCGCCACAAAAATGGCCTGGTTTTTATTGCCAGCCCTTACCAGCCATTCAATGACCGTGAATGATCCCGAGTGAGTCGAAAGGTTTTGGTTGAGCTTCGCAATCGCAACCCGGGCTCCTCCCCTCTCAAGACACTCAGCATGGGATCGTCGGATGATTCGCCTCAAGGGTTCGGAATGATTGTAGCAAGGCTCTTCCTGGCCCTGTATCCTTGGAGATGCCAGGACAAGTACCTGAATCAGTTGATCGACAAGATGAGCACGCTGAGGCCGTCAGGGCAGTTCGTGTCTTGAATACAGAAGTCTCCCTGCCCTCGTAGGAGTGAGTGGAAGTACATGCTTCCCTTCGACCTTGACCTCGCCAGCTCCGGATTTGTCGATGCGCATGGGCAGAGGAGACAGAGCAGCCAGCCCAGGAAGCTCATTTGTCCACATCATTGCGAGGATATCTGTGTCGAACCTGATTGCCCGCAACCCACGTGCCGCACAGAAGTTCCTCAAGGACGCGCATGCCGCACCTATCTGCATTCTTTGGGAAGTAGTGGAAGCGGAAGCATCGCTACAGAGGAGCTCTCGAGCCTCATCGGCCAGAGAATCCAGGCTCAGCAACGAGATCTTTATGATGCTTCAGTTTGGGGCTGTGCAGATTCTCAGTCTGCTTTTCGCCTGGATTTTGCCATTGTCGGTCTTCGGACCCGGTACGTACGATGTCCCCTGCTTTCACGTGCTTTGACTGGCTCCGGATCGGTCATTTCAGTGCTTCTGCGTTGCGCCCAGTCATCTCTGTGCAAATCACTCTGTCCACAAAAGCTCTATCTTGCAGAGACCAACCGCAACACGAACACGCAGCAGCAACGACAAGCAACTGCAAAGGCACCACCACCATCTCCATGATCACAAGCAGTCACAGCACAACCAACCACACACGAACACCACCCGACCACCGCCGCCACCACTACCACCGCAGGCACCACCACTACCGCTGCTCCCAGCGCCAGCAAAATCAGCAACATCCGCACCACCCAGCACCACAACTGCCAGGAGCATTGAGGATGCTGGTGATGATGCTGATGATTATGTTGGTGGCGATGCTGGCGATGGTGCTGATGCTGATGCTGAAGAGGCTGGTGATGGCGATGATGATTCAGACCCAAACCAGGCCTACAGCAACACCAAGAAGACTAAGTCCCCAAGAGATTGAAACCACCTAGTAAAGCACAACTCGGGGGCGAAGTCCCGAATCCGCACGCATTCCGATGGTTTCAACGTGCCTCCCGTACCACGTGCCTCGAGCCTTGTAGTTTTGTGTTCTTCGGCTGCAGCTAAGAAAGTCGTCCGACAGATCTCCGGGGGGGTCTTACATGCTTGGATATGGATTTGATCAAAGTACTTCGCTGCAGTCCGTTGACAGAACGCAGAGACCTGCGAGAAGTGAGGCCTATGGAGGTCGAAGGGGTGGCATTGTCGGTGGCTACACCTTGCTGGAATCACTGGGCTCGAAGGACATGGCATTGAATAGGGAAGGCACAGCTTGCGAAACGATCTGCTTTGTAGGATCCAGTGTGCGCAGCCTAGTGGTTCCAGCCAACCTTGGACTCCGGTCAGTGAGAAGTGCTTGTTCCACTTTTCTGCCCAAGGTCCTCGAAGGACACGCCAGATCCCGTCCAGCGCATGATAAGCAAGAAGAAGAGCCAGGCAATGATGTGCTGATTCACTGGTCCATTCGTCAGACTGACGCTGTCGTTGTCTCTCAGAAAGATCTACAGCGCAGCGACACACAGCGGGCCATCTCCAGGAAGTATTCTTCTTAGACGATTCTGGCAGCCAACGTCATCGGAATTTCCAACTGATGTGCCAAGGCGGTGGTCGATCGTCAAGGCTGGTACTCGTATGTCCAGCGTACAGTGATGGGCTCACGATGTGCAGCTCATCAGCAATCCAGGCATTAACGCAATGGCTTTTGCTCTGGTTTCGGAGACGACGCCTGCACACGCCTGGAGCCCACGTGCTGTGAGAATGTTGTCGCAGGGAGTTTGCAATCGTTTCAAAATCACAGACACGAGAAATGAGGTCAGCCAATATTTGTGTTATGGCAACTTGCTTGCAGCACGACCGTAGCTGGGCAACGCAGTTAATCTGGCGCGTGGTCTTGCGCAGGTCCTGCGACAGATGGGTGAATGGTCTAGGATCAGGAGCACTAGCAGCTCCAACTGGCACTGGCGTCACAGTCACAGGAACCACTCCAATTGCCAGGAGTGCAATGAAAGGCTTTGTCGACAACGTCACTCTTCTCCAGCGATGGTGCAAGCGCTTCCTTACTGTAAAAAGGCACAAACAGAGCTGGCTTTGTTATGGAGGACTGGTTCGGGATTCCTGGTCTTGTCAGGCGGAGGTGTGGGCTTTGTGAGAAGGAGTGGGAGAGGCACGTATCAGTGTGTGGAGTGGCTGACTTGAAGCATCTTCGGTGCCATTGTTGAGCAGGTTTGAAGACTTCCACTTGTCCCATTTCTTTCGCAACAAGGCACAAGCCATCATTCAGGACGCCGCGACATTGATTTGTCAAAGCATGATACATGCCTGTACCGGTGCCGGGCTGGGTTCTGAATATGCCAGGAGCAGAAGGAGTTAGCAGCCACGGAAGCTATGGGTGGTCAGGGCAAGAGGCCGCTGCTAAATCTTGTGGCCTGCGGCCGGTGCTCTTGTGCAACTGCTCCGCTCCGCCCCTGCTGCCGGCGCAAATACTGCAGATATCTTCAGATACATGCTGCCTCAATCAGAGACATCATGGGGTCTTTCGGTCAGTAATGAGGTTGAATCTGCTATGCATTGTGCGTGTGATGACAGGCAGTACAAAGGCATACAATCTGGGAAAGCCAAGCGGGACAAGCAGGCAAGATCTAGGAATTCAAGCGGGTGCATGGGGAAGCGCTTGCTGGACGAGACACATGCTTCCTTCCAAGGCCTTCCTGAACTTGTTGGAAGCTGGTGTCGAAGGAGGTGCATCACGCGTTTTTACGACATCCGTGGCTGATTGGACAGGTCGTGTGTCATGTCAGGCGAAATATCTATTGACTTCCGAGCTTACAAGATCCCTCCTGCGGAAAGGCGGGGATTTCCGATTTGCTCCGTGGTGTTATTTGATGAATCCTTTCTGAAGACTGTATCCTACTCCCTATCGCTCAGGAGAGCCATTATCAACCGATGGTACATGGTGACTTTGAGGCTTTGGGTCTCGATGCTGGAGGACTTCGCCACTGTGTGCCTGCCTCTTGGAGGAACCATGTACGTTCAGAGCAGACTATCGCCTCGACCTTGGATCTGTGTACTGCAGCAGCTCATGAAAGCTGGTGGTGAGGATTGGGTTGACTCCCCGAGTCCCCGATCCTCTTGCAAATGCGTTGTTGTGAGGCTCTGACCATAAAGGAGATGCTGGCGGCCGAACGGGTGTCATGCCTCAGACCGCATCCACGCTGGAGCTAATGCTTAGACGTAGTCCGCACGGTAGCATTGCATTTGTCAGTCGAGCAGCAGTCGTTGCAGAAGCAGTCCACGACGACGACCACTGCTACCACCACTGCTGCTGTGCTGCTACTGCTGCTGCTGCTGCTGCTGCTGCATCTGATACTGCTACTACTACTACCCTCTTTGGCACTGCCGGCGTGCCAGGTGGGCGACAATAAAACCACTACTTCTACTACCACGACTTTTTTGCTTTACTTTGTTGCTTTTGCTTTGTGTCTGTTACTGCTGGAGAGCCTCGACTCGCCCGATACCTCGTCAGTAGTCAAGACCCTGNNGACGTGCCAAGTGGGTGACAAAAACCACGACTGCTATTAACTCCTATGTGCTACTACGACAACTACTGCTACTACAACTCTACTACGACGATTACGATGACGGCTACTACCTATGTATACTACTGCTGCTGCTACTAGTACTAGTCACACCATCACCGCCACCACCACCGCCACCACC